GGTGGTGGCGTTGGCCTCGGTGTCGTCGCTCTTCCTGTTCTCGGTGCTCCTGTTCGCGGCGGTGCGGCTGTGCAGGAGGAGCAGGGCGGCCTCGGCGGGTCGCTGCTCGGTGCCCGAGGGTCCCTTTCCAGGGCATCTGGTGGACATGAGCAGCACCGGGACCCTGTCCCAGAATTATCAGTATGAAGTTTACGTGGCAGAAAGCGCTGAGAGCCAGTTCAAGTTTCTTAAGCCGATACTTCCCAACTTCCTGGGTGAAGGGACTGGTAGGGACAGTGAGACAAACTCCAACTCCAGGAATCATTTTGGGCTCAATTAGGAATCTAACAGACAACACGTCATGACAAATCATAGAATTCACTGAATGATCTATAAGTTCTCTCATTCACATAGAGCCACATATTCACACATTAGTAACGGCTGTCCTATTTGTAGCTCTTTCTATCTGCTGGACTATTTTCCATTCCCTCTGATTTTTCTTGTGGTTGTTGTCAGCTATCTTAATTATAGCATGTTCACACAATAGCAGAGCAGAGAAATGGTGTTTCCTAGGGTGCTTGTTATTTAGTCAGATTTTGGAACTCACAGGTGTTTTCTGGTTCCCAATATTTGAACTTGTTCACTGATATGTTATGACTAAAAGAATGGTATTTGAAACTTTCTGATTGTCATCAGCATGACTCCAACTCTATTGTAAATGACAACTTTTAGTTTAGAAAATAATTTTCATCTATGCAAAAAGTTTAGCAATCTTGTAAATTGTTGCATTTCTATTGTGTTGTTTCAAAAATACTACTCTTTCCTCAAATGAATCAATATTTTACCTAGATGATGTTTCCTTTCTTGAATTTTTTCTTTCAAAATTGATATTTATAGACCATCAGCTGTTATTCTAAAGAACTTCTGTTACATGAAAGAATAGTAGAAAAAAGGTTGGCTGACTTGTGATTACTTTAAAAAAAATAATAAATAGCTTTGGTATGTAAATAATGATTCTTCTTCTTTTAAAATAATAGCAGTTGGGCTCAGTGGCTCACATGTCTAATCCTAGCACTTTGGGAGGCTGATGTGGGTAGGTCATCTGAGGACAAGAGTTCAAGACCAGCCTGGCCAACATGGTGAAACCCCATCTCTACTAAAAATACAAAAATTAGCCAGGCATGGTGGTGAGTGCCTGTAATCCCAGGTACTTGGGAGGTTGAGGCAAGAGAATGGCTTGTGCCTGGGAGGTGGAGGTTTCAGAGAGCCGAGGTCATGCCACTGCACTCCAGCCCGTATGAAAAAGAGAGACTCTGTCTCAAAAAAATATATAAATAAATAAAATAAAATAAAATATGGTCATATAATTCAAACATACAGTAAGTACAAAAAAGAAAGCAAATTAACATCATTATTCCACAATCAGAAATAATTTCATTAAGTCAACATTATTCTAAAGTATTTAAATGAATGCATATAAAAATAAAGTAATAGATGAAAATAATTTTATAAAATGGATCTATAATTGATAGCTTGTGATTAAGATGATCAGATTGAATATAATAAAACGAAGTGTGAAACTATAGAACTTGCTTTAGCTTTGATAAGTAGTTCCTATGAAGGTTAAAAAGCAATATTAGATGCATATTAAGACATTAGCATTACTAAACTGTCTGCTTAGAAATGAGCAAATAAACATTTTATATGCTTTCTCTTCTTTCTTAACCTTACTTATATTTTTTGTATTGTATATATATTACCTTATCAATATTTATAACATTTACAATGTATTTTGAAAGAATACTTCCCATAACTGTTTAGGCATTTCATATCTTTTTTTAGACAGAGTTTTGCTCTTGTTGCCCAGGCTACAGTACAGTGGCACAATTTTGGCTCACTGCAGCCTCCACCTCCCAAGTTCAAGCAATTCTCCTGCCTCAGCCTCCTAAGTACCTGGGATGACAGGAATGTGCCACCACAACTGGCTAATTCTGTATTTTTAGTAGAGATGGGGTTTCACCATGTTGGTCAGGCTGGTCTCAAACTCCTGATCTCATGTGATCCACCTGCCTTGACCTCCCAAAGTGCTGGGATTACAGGCACGAGCCACCACACCCAGCTGGCATTTCATAGTTTTTAAATTTTAATTTAAAAGTCATATAGTGCTACTTTAAAAAAAATTTTATTCAAGTCTGACTGCCCAGGGCAACCAATTTTGATTCTCTTATGTGTGTTTTTCCATATTTACTTCCCCATTTTAAAAATCACATATGTTTATAAAGTGCTTTTTCTCAAATTCCAGTTTTAGATATCCATCTTTTAAGGGGTATACACACACAACTTGCACATTTCATTTACCTAGCAATATCAAAATTCTGTTCAGATAATGTTTATATAATTGTCACCATAAAAATATTAGTTGCACCTAAGTCTTATAAGTGAAAAGCAGGCTGGGCATGGTGGCTCACACCTGTAATCTCAGCACTTTGGGAGGCCGAGGTGGGTAGATCACCTGAGGTCAGGAGTTTGAGACTAGCCTGGCCAACATGGTGAAACCAGTCTCTATTAAAAATACAAAAATTAGCTGGGTGTGTTGGTGGGTGCTTGTAATCCTAGCTACTCAGGAGGCTGAGGCACAAGAATTGTTTGAACCCCGGAGGCGGAGTTTGCAGTGAGCTGAGGCCATACCACTGCACTACAGCCTGGGCAACAGAGTGAGACTTGGCCTCGAAAAAAATAAAAATTGAAAAGATTTCTTTATTTTTTCTTTTTACCTTTAAGGTCATAATTGCCTTCTTTTTCAACTTACTTTTCTATGTACATCTTTTAGGGATTATGTCAAGTCTAAAGCTTCTAACTAACTCATAATTCTATCAATTCCATTCTTTTCTGCTGGAGCCATCCTGGAGCTATTCAGAGTCTTGCTCCATTCATTGTACATTGTTTGCTCTCTAAACCTACTGCACAGCTGGCAGTTTGCTTTTTCCACTAACTTGGAAATTTATCTTCCTCTTCCATTTGATTTCCTCTTCTGGATTTTACATCTTGTTCTTGTTTGGTTTTCTCCCTTAAGTTTCAAAAGAATATTTGGTAATAAATCTTTTGATCACTTGAATATAGAAATTTTAGATGTCAGAAACTCACACGTCTATTTGAAGATTTTGTTGGGTGTGGAATTATAGGTTAGGAATTATTTGCTGCCAGTATTTTGAAGGCATTCCTCTGTTGTCTTCTAATCACCAAAGTTGAGATGGTCATCAACAATCTGATTACCCATTCTTTTCTGAGAACCTTTGTTTTCCTTTTAGATTCCTGATTCTCAACCAATGACAATTTTGCCACCTTTGGTAAATGTCTGGCAATTGCCAAACATTTGGCAATGTCTGGAAATACTTTTGATGAGCACAGCTGCCAATAGTGCTGAGGCTGAGAAACTTAGTTCTAGATAAGTTAAGGTTCTCATATGTATCTCCAGTGTTCTAGAATTTCATCATTATGTCAGAATGTAAGAATTTTGGTCATTTATTACACGAGTTACTCAGTGAGACTTGCCAATCTTGAGACATGTTGTTCAGGCTAGAACAGGGTTGTTGAGGTTTTTTATTTAAAAAAATCTTTTGTCTACTAAATGTTTTCCTTTTTTATTCTGCAACTCCTGTTAGTTGTATAGTGACCTAGTTTGATATTTAATTTTTCTTATCCTTGTTCTATCTTCTGTTTTTATTTTCCTGGATTCCAGTAAATTTCCTTTATGACTGAATTTTAAACTTTTGCTATGATAGTTTTACTTTCAAAAAGCTTTTTCTTAGTCTCTGCATATTTCTTTCTATAGTAGCCTTGCAGTTTTAAAATTGTTTGGTGAGATATAATTCACAAATCATAACATTCGCCTTTTTAAAAATTGAGTTCAGTGGTATATTCCAAGGGCTATACACTTATTACCACTACCTAATTCCAGAACATTTTCACATTTTCATCATCCCAAAAAAGAAACCTGGTACCCATCTGCATTTACTCCCCATTCCTTCCTCTTTCCAGCCTCTGGAAACTACTAATCAACTTTATGTTTCTTTGGATTTGCCTGTTCTGGATATTTCATGTAAATTGAGTCGTACAATATGTAGCCTTTTCTGTCTGCCTTCTTTCACCACAATGTTTTCAAGGTTCATTCATGTTATAGCATGCATCAGCACTTCATTAATTTCTATGGCTGAATAATATCCCATTGTATGAATGTACCACATTTTGTTTGTTCATCACTTGATGGACATTTTGGTTTGTTTTCACTATTTGGCCATTATGACTAATACTGCTAGGAACATTCATGCATGAGTTTTTGTGTGGACATGTTTTCAGTTCTCTTGGGTGTATACCTAGGATTGGAATTACTGGGTCATATACTGACTCTATGTAACTTTTGGAGGAATTGTCAAACTGTTTTCCAAAGTGACTATACCATTTTACATTCCTCTCAACCATGTGTGAGGATTCCAATTTGTCTACATCCTCACGGGCACTTTATTATTATTGTTATAGCCAACTTAGAAAGTGTGAAGTAGTATCCTATTATGGTTTGAATTGCATTTCCCAAACGACTAATGGTGTTGTATTTCTTTTCATAGCTTACTGGTCATTTGAATGTTTTCTTTAAAGAAATGTGTGCCCAAATTTTTTGCCAGTTATGTAATCTAATTTTTAAATATTTTAATTGTTGAATTTTATTAGTTCTTTATATATTCTGGATACTAGACTTATCAGACACATGGTTTACAAATATTTTCTGCCATTCTGTGAGTTGTCTTTTCACTTTATTGGTAGTATCCTTTGAAGTAAAAAAAGAGTTTTTAAAGTTTTGATGAAGCGCAATTATGGTTTTTTTTTTTTTCTTTTTTGAGATGGAGTCTCGCTCTGTCATCCATGCTGGAGCACAGTGGTACAATCTTGGCTCACTGAAACTTCCACCTCCCGGGTTCAAGCGACTCTCCTGCCTCAGTTTCCCAAGTAGCTGGGATTACAGGCGCTCGTCACCACCCTCGGTTAAATTTTTTGTATTTTTAGTAGAGATGGGGCTTCACCATGTTGGCCTGGCTGGTCTCAAACTCCTGAATCTCAGGTGATCCGCCGGTCTCGGCTGCCCGAAGTGCTGCAATTACAGGTGTGAGCCACCGTGCCCAGCCTATTTTTTTTTCTTTTTTAAAATCAGGCACTCCCAGTCACTGAGCCGCCGCCAAGGACTCAGCAGCCTCCCCCTTGAACCCCCTCGCTTCCCGACGTTCCATCCCTCCTGCCCGCCTTCTACCGCCGCCTTCCGCAGGCAGTTTCCACCGAGGAAGAGGAATCAAGGAATCGTATGGTATGTCCGCTATCCAGAACCTCCACTCTTTCGACCCCTTTGCTGATGCAAGTAAGGGTGATGACCTGCTTCCTGCTGGCACTGAGGATTATGTCCATATAAGAATTCAACAGAGAAACGGCAGGAAGACCCTTACTACTGTCCAAGGGATCGCTGATGATTACGATAAAAAGAAACTAGTGAAGGCGTTTAAGAAGTTTGCCTGCAATGGTACTGTAATTGAGCATCCAGAACATGGAGAAGTAATTCAGCTACAGGGTGACCAACGCAAGAACATATGCCAGTTCCTCGTAGAGATTGGACTGGCTAAGGACGATCAGTTGAAAGTTCATGGGTTTTAAGTGCTTATGGCTCACTGAAGCTTAAGTGAGGATTTCCTTGCAATGAGTAGAATTTCCCTTCTGTCCCTTGTCACAAGTTTAAAAACCTCACAGCTTGTATAATGTAACCATTTGGGATACGCTTTTAACTTGGACTAGTGTAACTCCTTCATGCAATAAACTGAAAAGAGCCATTTAAAAATAAATAAATAAAATCAGGCACTCAAACATATTAAACATTGTATGTTTGAGTGAGACTAGTTGAGTGGTAGACCTCACCTTAGGGTAATGAAACAGGAAACATTTTATTTGGAGAGAAAACGTCAGTATCTGTA